CAACAACAGCACGCAGAATCAACATGAGAATATACATGTGTATACACACATACATATATAGTACCTCAGGTGAAGTACTAAATTCAGTTTTTGCATTATATTCTAAGTGATAATAAATTCTCACTTTTGTGAAGGAATGAAAACAGTTTAAATTCTGCAGATTCAGACTGTTGAATACAATAAATGCCAACAAATCTGACCACAGTCTGTTACTTGGGCAGAACAAGGGGACACTGAGTGGTTTAAAATCAAGAAAGGTATGCACAAGGTTGTATTCTTACACCATACTTATTTAATCTGTATGCTGAGCAAAATATGAGGTGATGGATTATGCAAAAGAACATGGGATCAGGATTGGAGGAAGATTCATAAACAACTTGTGACATGCAGATGATTCAACCTTGCTTGCTCAAAGTGAAGAGAAGTTAAAATTCTTACCGATGGAGATCAAAGGCCATATAGCCTTTAGTCCAGGTATATCCCAATGTAAATAACACAAAAATCCTCACCACTGGACCAATAAATAACATTATGATAAATGGAGACAAGTATGAAGTTGTTAAAGATTTCATTTTGCTTGGATATACTATCCATACTTAATGGAAGCATTAGTCAAGAAATCGAAGGACCTATTACATTACACAAATCTGCTGCATAAGACCTTTTTAAAGTGTTGAAGAGCAAAGGTATCTGTTTGAGGACTAAGGTGTGTCTGACCCAAGCCATGGTATTTTCAATAGCTTCATATGCGTGTGAAAGTTGGACAATAAATAAGGAAGATGGACCATAGAAGAATTGCTACATTTGAGTTATGGTGTTGGAGAAGAATATTAAAAGTACCATTATTAAAACTTTCCTCTTAGTGCATATTGCCTTCCCCTTCACCCAAGTTAACACGTCTATTTGTTCTGGTAGCATAGTGGTTATGAATTGGGCTGTGAACCGCAAGGTCAGCAGTTAGAAACTACCAGCTGTTCCGTGGGAGAAAGATGAGGCTTTCTGCTCTCATAAAGATTTACAGCCTCGGAAACCCTGTACAGGGTCACTATGAGTTGGAACCGACTCCACGGCATATAACCAACCAACTCTCTAGTCCTGGTGTGGCGCTGTGGGTTAATGCACTGGATTGCAGAGTCGGTTTGAACTTCAAGGTCAGCAGTTCCAAGTTCACCAGCTGCTCCTCAGAAACCCTACACAGGGTTGCTATGGGTAGGAACTGACTCAACGACACTTAACAACAACAACTCTCTAGTCAGTAGATTACTTCAATTTTAGTTCATCATCACACATTTCCCTCATCAGATGTTCACTTTTTTAAGTTGGCACCATTTCTTGTTTCTAGAGCCCTAGCAACCAACACAGTGTTTGGCACATGTAAGCATGTGGATAATTGTGGAAGCTGACAACTACGGACTCGAGAGCAATATACAAGGTTGCTCATGGCTCTGCACTGATCTCAGAGTTTAACAGTTTAGACAAAAAGTTGAGTCTAGGAGTGACTCTTCTTAGAACCAGGGAAACGAGATACTCATAGGTAACCATAGCTTTTCAGTAGCTTAAACTCTGAAAGATTTCAATTTTACCAAAATGCCTTACAGAAATCTTTTATCTCACTGTAGTTTTTACAGGTCAGTAGATGGAGCTCAATACATGTTAATATTTGAGCCCAGAATCACTCTTCTTGTTCTTGAAGCTGGAGGCAACATGAGAGGAAAGGAAAAGACCTGGACTTGAGAGACGGTTCTGCCACCAAAAAGGATGTATTTACTGATTTAAGCATCAGATGAATAAATGTGACAATACTACATATACTGCATTAATCAGTACACATAAAGAGTGTGTTAATATAATTTTTAATAGAGTTAGACAGTCATGGCAGCAGAAAAGACAAAATCTGTTTCTTCCTGGATCGGGATGCCAGCTTCAGCAAAACAGGTTAATAGCTAAGAGATTTCTATATTCTGTTCCACTTTTTCTCTTTCACCCTGAACTTCTACCCTTTCCACATGCTTGCCACACCCCTAGTCCCCTCCTGCCATTCTAATAAGACCCAGTGCACATCTGTCCTTTCAAACTCAGCCCCACCTCCAAATTCCAAATCCTTTCAGCATCTATTACACAAGCTCATAGCTCAATAAAGTAAATGTTGTAGAGCATTTTGATTTTTAAATCTAGAGGAATGGGTTTTTAGAGGGGCTTTTAAGTACTGCCAGGCAGAAGCAGAGGAGTTTTTCACTTAGAAACCTCTTGACCAGTTGTCTTCAAGGTGGTAATGACTCACGGCGACCCTATGTGTATCAGAGTAGAACTGTATTCCACAGAGTACAACAGCTGGTGTTTTGAAAACTGACTGCCAGGCCTTTCTTCCAAGGTGCCTTTGGAAGAACAGCCAACCTTTCAGTTAGCAGCAGAGCATATTAACAGTTTGCACCAGCCAAGGACTCCTATTAGAATTCCCAAAAACAGATGGTCTTGTATGTGTGGGACCCCACAAATATCTGAAAAGATCTTATTTTCACTAAGAAGTTTTCTTTAACCCCCAAAGTTTTGAATATACTCTCAGAGATACTTAATTTGTGTAGATTTTAAATTACAAGCCAGATCTGATATCTTCAAATGTAAGAAGATAAAATTGTTACAAATAGTTGTCAGTATTTTCAAATGAGAGGAAAATTATATTTTAGTAAAATCAGATGAATTTTTAATATCTGACATAATCCTTATATCATCAGGTGGAATTATTCCAATTCATGCAATAAATGACAATTACATTTTTTAAAGTTGCTCTAATTTTTCTAACAGATACCTGGTGCCTATTTTATGTCAAGATATTAATTTACTCCTGAGGTCAACTGACCCACCCCTAGGAAGTGGTGAGCACACATGGTTTCTCAGAGATTCAAGAAGATCCCCATCTTTGCAAGATACTATCTTCTTCCCCTTATCTCAGAATTTCCCAGGAAACTCTTCTGTCTCAGAAGTGGCCCTGGTGGCGTACAGGCAAGTAGAACACCACAGATTACGTTACGTAGGGCTCTAGCAGTGGCCTAAAAGAGGTGGGCAGGAGAAAAATTATAACTGATCTTGACATAAAACCAGGAGAAAGCAGCATCACCAAATTCTTGTAACTAGAAATGATGAAGGTGAAACAGAGGAGGTTTATCTATGATAGGATGCCCCCCTCAGTAGACCTCATGACTGTCTTTTAATAGAACTGCATAATTAGTACCATCAACATTTTACATATTTTACATACAATTTGAATACAAATTCTTAAAATTTACAATAGAACATTAAAATAATCTTCTAATAAAATCAGCCTTATGTATAAGGACTCTGAATTTCAATATCTTATATACTTATAAATAAATATTTTTGATCTATAACCCTTTAAAATATTGTAGTTTATGGTGACATGATGCAGACAAGTCAAATGGTATTATAAGTGAACATAAAACATCAATTTAAAAATAAACAAGCATAGGAACACACTAAATTCAAATGATAGAAAATCAAAACACTAAGTGCATAGTAGTTAAATCTCTAGCATTGTGATAATCAAATGCATGCTCAGCAACACTCTCGACTTATATTTAAAAAGTCCTCTGAAATCCATGTAATCTAAATAAATAAGCAGAAACACAAAGGGAGAGACTGTGCCAGCCAGTAACAATTCGAAAGTAATTTCTCCTTTTTCTTTTCAAATGATCCTAACAGAAAAACATGAAATAAGGTATCACTCGCTAAAAAGCTGTACATAATTCATGTGTCTAATAGTTTAAAAGTGCTACCTATGATATAAAACAAGCCAAAGCAAGGCTTCTCAGTGTTAGACCACTGTACCTTAAAAAAGGATGTGCTACCTAACTGGCAGATTTAAATAAAAATCATACATTTGCCTACTTATAATATGATTGAATTTTTGCTTAATGGCCCCATTATCTGTCTAAATCAAGCCCGTGATATAAAGGTACATTTAGACACCAGAATGCATGATCTGCTAATACTGAATTATATATGGTGATTTAATTTCCCTTGCCAACATATCATTTTATTTTACAGAAGAGCAGAATTTAAACATCTACAGCAGGAACTTATCATTTTGTCCTGGTTCTTAGGGTTTTAGAACATAATAGGTACTCAGTCGTACTTACTGAGTTAAGCTTAACATTCATCATGTTTCAAGAATTATTTAATCCATAATAAAATGGGTTGCCTGAGACTGAAGGGTCAGCTCTTTAATGCTACCTCTAGGCCTGACTAGTTTTTAACTAGTCAACCAGGTTAACCGCCACAGGTATATCATAAGTTTTCATTTTGGGGCCAAAGATTTCTAAAATTCATCTAAAGAAGGTAGGCCTTCTTTAAAGATCTGAGCCTGTACAACTATAGTGAAGGTAAAAAGAAATAATTGTTGTTAATTCTATGTTGAATATTTGGCTATGACAATTGCGTGAAACTACACACATACACACACACACACACACAACCATTTCACAAATGGTGAGGAGAATTATAAAATAATACAGAAAGCTTAAATTACAGAATTCTCAAGGTTAACAAAAAAAGACAAGTGAATCCAAAAGATAACCCCTTTTGACTATACACAAATTTAAAAATGGCTGGAAGCAGTATCTTTGGACCAACAAAAAAACCCCAGAAGTGTTCTTTACCATTAGCTTGACAAGGTGGTTAAAAGCTGTGTCGCTACAAGAGTGCCTTGTTTAATTCTGCTTAGCATGCCTCATTCACTAGGAAGACATGAGGAGGACATGGATATGTTCTTCAAAGATCATTCTTTCCATCCATGATGCTCAGATCACTACTTGCCTCTTTATGTGGATTACTCTAACAGAGTTCCTATAGGTTGCCATGGAAAGTTGCACTTTCTGATGTCCATGTGGGAAGGGAGGAGGAAAAGGAGCATGTCACAGACTCCTGAAATAAAAGCGGTTTAAAAAGGTTCACGTCTCCAATTCTTACCACCAGCATGAATGCTGCTAGGCGAGGTAGATCCAGTGTTTAAGTTCTGCCATCCCCTGCAGTAACTTAGTGTAATAGAAGTCCATGTTGTCTGCAAAGTCTGTGCAAACAGGTGACTCCCTGTCACCAAAAGTGCAATACAAGGCAGTTCCTCCAACACTAAGGAAAACAGTTGCTATGCACAGTAAGATCAGTAAAATACAGGAGCCACCACCAACTTCATCTGCAAATGCATAAAAGGAACAAGAGAAGAGAGTGAGGTTAAACTGACAACAAAATGGCAACTCTAGTACTTGCTGTCTTATCACTGATTAAGATAATCAGACACCTCAATGTAAAGTCTTACAGAGACAGGAGTTACTGACAGAAAACTAGTCTACAAAGACCTACCTAGTTACTACAAAATTATATACTTGTGGAGTTTGTGAATGCTAAAATTAAAACTAGCTTATTTATACAATGACTGTAGTTCTTTTCATGAAAGAGAAAGAAAGGAAAGTAGTTTTTTGAGGTACACACAGCACTATTTTATAGTATAATTTATAATCTCACAATTATAACATCTATCTTAGAGCTCATACCATTGGGCCACCTTAAAGTCAATTTGATGTTACATAATACAAATGTCTTTGATGGGATTTCATTTTTATCTTGGCTATATTTCATTTACCCTCATTCACTTAGGCCTTAGGTAAGCCTGCTGCAAGCACACAGCAAGTCAGCACCATGTGCTACACGCCACCACCTTTACATATAAACCCAAGAGCAATAAGTAGTGGCAAATTGCTGCTTTTGAGAGACTGTTTTTCTAAAGAGCCAAGAAGAGAACACCAAAAAGAATATATTTAAAATCTAGAAATATTTTCCACACCAATAAAAAAGAAGTATCAGCTGGCTATAAAAAGAGAAAAAAGGTAGCAAACACACACACAATTGCTTAACAGAGAAACTGAAATGGACTTTCAACATTAAGAACTATTGATGGGAAAGTCTTGGTGTGGCACTATGGGATAAAGCACTGGCCTACAAGGTCGGCTTAAACAACAGTCGGTGGTTCAAACTCACTAGCCACTCCTTGGAAACCCTATATAGGGTCACTCTGAGTTGGAACCAAGTTGACGACACTTAACAAGAACAGTAACATGGGATAGAGAGGCCATGAGTTGAATTTTACAATTTGCTCTCATTTGAGCAAACAAAATGCTTACAAATAATTTAAGAGCTGATAATAGCTTGATTTTCTGTACTTCTCTTATGAAAGATAAAGCAATTACAAATTCTGTTATCAAATATTGTTATACATGAGTTCATTCTTCCAGCTAGCCACAGCGTTGAAAGTTTACCTTGATCCAAGTTATCATCTATTTCTTGGAATCTTACTCTCCGCTTAGATGGCTTCTGCTGCATTTGGGATTGATGATTTCCTACAGTATCATTCCTCTTCTTTAATATAGAGACCAATCCTTCAGCAGGAACAACCTGTCACGGATCATATGAACCAGTTGTTATATGATATTAGTACAAATCAATGATGCTTTACATGGACTAATCTCAGCTTCTAGTGTGTGTGTGATAGAAAAAAAAAAAATCACACTCATTAAGCTTAACAAAGTAAAACATTTACTTTTATGCAGATGACTGTCAAATATACAAGTCTTTTCTAAACTTGACTACAGCGACTGGGAATCAGGAGGCCTCCTTTAACATCCTGACTACTTTGTAGCTTAACTTCCCTGCTAGACCATCTACAAATGACCATTTATAGTCATTAGCACCAAGTTTAGCTTTCTAGCAGAGGCTTGAAACCCGCCACTACTTTTCTCATTCATCAGCAACTTTTAAGTGAACATGTGAGACTTCAACATGGGTTTGTACTCAATTCAGCTCAGGAAATACATTTACTTAAACAATAAAATATTCAAAATATTTTAAGGACTTCTCTTCTAGAATGACTCTCAGGACCAGTTTATTACAGACATAAACTCAATTCTCATTATTGGTGTTAGTTATGCTCCACAAGGTTGCCATGAACACTGAATTAGCAAATAAAGAACCATTACTGCTATGGCAAATAGGGGTTAGGCTTCTATGGGACTCTGGTCATAGCATGTTTATGAGCCAATGAACATATAACCTGGTGATGTGTGTTTTTGCTGAAAGACACACATACTGTGACCATTAACACAGAAGTCATGGCCAACAGCACTATAACTCATACCTGAACGGAGCTTATCTAACACATGTATTTCTCCATAAGGCACATCCAGTTTAGGAACCCGATACAGCACTTCAATACAATACTACTCTTGGGCATAATTTAAATCATCAAAATCACCAAGAAAAATCTCAGAAGTATGAAAAGGGGTGCACTAAACAGACAACAAGTGAAGGATATCTGTTTATACTATTAGAGTTGAAACAAGAAGGCAGAGGGTCAAGTTATTCAACCACAGCTGGGAACATGTGTACCAAGACATTTCACCATGCTGTACATGTTGGTGCAGCAAACACATATTTTGAGTCTGTAACTTAAATTTCAGTGAGTTGGTGAATTAGAAAATAAGACGCTTGTAAAAAAAATAAGGATGAAGTGTATTATTCTGTAGTACACAGAGGTTGACAAGCCAATGGCCCACTTGCCTGTTTTGGCAAAAAATAAAAAATTGAATGACGACTGCCAAGTTCACTCATCCATGTACTGCTTTTGGGGCTACAAAGACAGAATTGAGTAGCTGCAACAAACCATATGGCTCAAAAGTCTAAAATATTTACAGAAAATGTTTGCTCATACCTCTTCCATCTCCCACCATTATCCCTTCTGGTTTTCACTTGAGCCAACTGTCCCAAGTTTACATCTCACCCCTTATTTAAAACAAAAACAAAAAAAGCCTTGCCATTTCGGAGTGAAGAGACTCCTAGATGCTGAGAGACAGAGAAGACTGGTCAACAGATCCAGGTTGGGAAGCTGGGGGCTTTAGCAGGGCCTCTAAGTAGTAGACTGACTCACAGAAGTTAACTGCTTGTTACATGCTGTAGGTGATGACACAGGTAGGCATTGTGGGCCTAACACTGCAGATGTCAGTGACTTGCTGAAGACTGCTTGCAATGCCATCTATCTGATCAATGGCATAAAATACGTCATATGAGTTCCAGTTTCAGCTAGCTATTTCTGATAATGTGCTGTGCATAAATATTACAGATTCAAATTTGCTATTTTTATAACTCAAGGCTTTTAGTGCCAGATAACTCAATAAAAGCTTGAGCTTTCCTGAACAAGAGTCTATAAAACCATTATATCAAGAAACAAAACAAAACAAAATCAATAGGAACTCAGCAATGTATTCTTTTTATAGGAGATATGTGTTTTAGATGATGTTCTTTTCTGGAAAAACTAAAGTACTTTAGTGACACTAAAATGGCAAATACAAATATGCAGAGGACTATTGGTAGTTTTCAATTTTTCCTTTAAAAAGTACAACAACATTAAAAAGCCCCTCTATTACATATAATTCATGCAATAAAAAATAATTTTATAGGCACTTTGTTGAAACTGAGAAAAGAAATTCTAGTAACTTTGTAAAGCATAAAGAATAAAAAATGGAAATTAACATTAGTGAATATTGTTGCTAAGTGCCGTTGAGTTGGTTCTGACTCATAGTAACTCTCTATAGGGTTTCTGAGGAGCAGTTGGTGAGTTTGAACCACCGACCCTGTGGTTCAAACCAACCTTACAATCCAGTACTTTATCCCACAGCACAACATCAGTGTGGTGTACTGTGCAAGGATGAATATATAGATTAAAGGAGCAGGTTTATGATCAACTCATTTTTCAAGATGGATGCCAAGACTATCCAATAGGGAAAGATCATCTTTTCAACCAATAATTCTAGATAGCCAGAGCAACAGAATGAAACAGAACCTCTGTCAGCTGATGAATAAACAAAAAATGATGTAACCATATAATGGAATACAATTTGGCCATAAAAAGGAATGAAGTACTGATACATGTTATACCATACAGGAACCCTGAAAACATGATAAATCAAAGAAGCTAGTCACAAAAGATCATCTATGATGTTTCCATTCATATGAAGTGTCCAGAACAGGCAAATCTATAGAGACAAAAAGATTCTTGGCTGCTTAGGGATGCAGGCTTGGGAGTGTAAGAGAAAGATAGCCAAAAGAGATACAGTTTCCTTGAGGAGTGACAAAAAATGTTAACAAATGTATCGTGGTAATGGCTGCACATATGATAGGAGGTCAAAAAGTACTGCTACAAAATTATAGAAAACTAGTAAAGTCCAGGGAGAAATGGCAGAGTAGCAGACCCACTGATCTGACCCTCTGTAGTAAAGACGTGGGAGACCAAGTGAAACATACAGATGGTGATCCTGGAGCCCTGGGCATCAGAGGATAGCACATGGCACAGAAAGGTGGATTCAATGCCAACTGGAGGAAGACGCTGAACAGGAGCAGTGAGAGATAAGAAAAATGCACAGACTTTGGCTGGCTTGAGCTTTTGTGAAAGGCTGTCAATACACGGGCCAGCAGGCACAAGACATGGTTAGAGGCCGGTGGCAGAGTTGGGTGGGGTGGAGAGGGACAGTTCTCTCTTGTACCCATGTCCTCCTGGCAGACGGGAGTGTGGCTAGTCCCCATCCCTGCCAAGTCAGCAGTAAGTGGCAACCCCTCATGGACACATGCTTTGCCTGGGGTCAGGTGCAGGGCATATTGCCCCTGCTTCTGGAGGTGAATGAACCTGCCCTGAACTACACTATACAAACAGCGAATAAAGAACTATCTGTGTTCACACTTTCCATCTCTACCACATCCACAGGAGACAGGTGGGGCGTGCCGGAGAACACACCAATATGCAGTTAATATAAATACACCACAATGTCTCAGAGAAAAAAGACAATTTCAGCTTACACAAAGAAACAAGGCAGTGCTTCAAACAAGTAACCAAAATAGAGAGTCAAATAATATAACATCAGAAATGGTATTGGAACTGCCTGAGAAGGAATTTAAAAGAATGCTAATTAGGCAACTTAAAATGATTGAGAAAAAAAAGATCAAGAAAACTACAGGTGAAATTAAGAAAGACAAAACTACAGGAAAAATCAGGAAACATACTGAAAAAAATAATTGAAAAAATGGGAACCATACAAAAACAGCAATCAGAAAACCAGAAGATTAACACGAAGACTTTAGAAACAGGTAATAAACTGAAAGGGCAAAGAAAGAAAATTGAATCAATGAAAAGCCAGATTATCAAGCTTGGAGAAAAATCTCTATAGTCACCTGCTAGAGGAACAACCTGAGGAGTCCTGGTGTGGCACTGCATGTTAATGTGCTGGACTGCAAAGTCGCTTTGAACCACAAGGTCAGCGGTTCAAGCTCAACAGCTGCTCCTCAGAGACTCTATACAGGGTCGCTATGGGTTGGAATTGACTCGACGACACATAACAACAACAACAAGAGGAACAGTTAGAAAAAAGAAAAAATATATCTGAAGCAAGGCTAAGATTTATGTGGGACGCTATCAAAGGAATTAACTTACATGTGACAGGAATTCCAGAACCCAGAGAGAATACTGTCCAAGAATTGTAGGAAGAAAACTTCCCTCATATCATCAGTGATGAGAAGACAGCCATTCAAGAAGTTGAAAGAATTCCAAACAGGACAGACCCAAGAGCAAAACACTAAGATTGTTGTCTGTTGGTTTTAAACAACAGAAATATATTGTCTCAGAGTTATAGAGCATAGAAGTCCATATCAACATGTTATCTGGGCTATACTCCCTCCTAAATCTTATTTTAAAATGTTTTTATTGTGAATTGAGTGAAGGTTTATAGAACCGACCATCAGTTTCACATTCAACAAATCATATACTTTGCTTCATTACAATGACTGCAATCCCTTCTGTGTACATCAGTTAATAGTATATACTTCTATTCACTTTAACTCTTGCATGTCTCCCTGTGGCTCCCACTACCTTCATTTTTCCTTTGCCAACCTCCCTCTTGATGTATATTGCCTGCCCAGTAACCCATGTTAACATGTGTCTACACTTTATCCTATGAATAACTCCCCCTCCCCTCCGCCACACTTTTCACAATAGTGGCCTCACATGATATTTGTACTTTCATGATTGACTAATTTTGCAGGTTCATCCATGTTGTGAGGTGTTTTGCAGATTTACTGTTATTCTCCAGTGTTCCATAGTATTCCATTGTGTGTATGAACAAAGTTTGATTAACCATTCTTCTGTGGATGGGCATTTAGGCTGTCTTCATTTTTTTGACGTGTCAAGACAGCATACTGAAGGATCCTGTTTTCGTATCCATTCTGCTACTCTCTTGACTTGTGCATTTAGTCAATTCACATTCAGCATAATTATCAATAAGTATGAATTGATTGCTGCCATTTTGCTGTGTGTTTTTCTGTACAAAACATACTACAATCAAACTTTTCAAAAT